AAAAAAAAAAAAAAAAAAAATAGATAAAGTCAAGATGAAGGATGAACCACAGAATACTTGAAGGTTGTCTGCTAAATCTGTTTCTCCTAAGTCAGAGCCCAAACCTAAAAAGGCCCTTGCAAAGAAGGAAGAGAAGGTACCCGAAGGAAAAAAGGATGCTTGATGCTAGCAAGGATGGGAATAACCCTGCAGAAAATGAAGATGCCTAAACAGACCAGGCACAGGAAGCTGAGGCACTGCAGATACCAAGTGAACTGTGTGCATTTTTGATAATTGTGTACTCTGGTGAGGGCAGGTTGAAATAAGAATTTTTACCAAATTATATAAAAGTACAGAATTTTGTTTTCCTTTTTTTTTAGGTTATGCTGTTAGCACGCCAAACACTTCATTGTGGTTTTCTGAGGAAGGGACATATATTACTAATAAAATGTTCCTGAAGCTGGATTAATGTGGGAAAACACCTTTCCTTTCTAGTTTTGAGAGACTTCCTCTTGACTTCCAGAAGGAAGGATTCCCTGAAGTTGACACACATAGCCACCTTGGCACAAATGCCTGGTGGTGTGGAAAAACTAAAATGCATTTTTATGTCCTCTTCTCACTCTCTTCCTTCAGCACAGACTTAACTTCCTTAAACCCAGACACCTGTTGGCACTGGACCCTCCCAAAATCAGTTACCAGTGTGCCAGGCAATCTGGACTTTCCAGTGATACCATTGAGATGACATCCCTCAAGAGAGCAGCAGTTCCAGTTCTAGATTGTGGCTCATCAGATATATTCCATCATTTCTCTTCATTTCCTGAAAGTCAGGGTTCACTCATGAAAAGTTGTTGAACATGCTAAATGTGAAATGTCAACGCTTCATCTAAACTTTCCCTGCTCAGGGTATCATCTGGGTTTTAGAGTGGCTTTCTGATTTGAGTAGTCTGTTGAAGGAGAGAATTTGAAAGCTGTTGTATACTCTTAATGACTGTCCACGTCCTGCCTTAAATACCGTAATTGTTTATGAAAAGTATCTTAATAAAGCTGGATACAAGGCCAGGGGTGGTGGCTCCCAGCATTTTGGGAGGCCTAGGTGAATAGATTGTTTAAGCCAAGGAATTTAAGACCAACCTGGGCAACATAGCAAGACCTCATCTCTACAAAAATAAAAAATATTAGCCAGGCATGGTGGCACATGAGTGTAGTCCTAGCTACTTGGAAGGCTGAGGCAAGAGGATCGCTTGAGCCCAGGAGTTGAAGGTTGCAGTGAGCCATGATAGTGCCACTGCATCCAGCCTGGGCGACAGAGTGAGATCCTGTCTCAATAAATAAATAAATAAATAATGAAATAAATAAAATTTAAAAGCTGTATACCATTTGGCGTGGGGAAAAAGGAGTTGCAGTGACCTATAAAATAATATAGAGTGAGAAGATGACTTGGTGCATTGATTATTCAATTCAACAAACATTAATTGAGGACTTGCTGCGTGCCACGCATGGTAATAGGAGCTTGCAAAACAGAGGTGAAAAAATACACTTTTTGTGCCCACAGTCAATTGTTGTCTAGTAGGCAAAGCTAACGTAAGAAGATAATTAATCATAGCACAATTAGTACAGTCAAAAGGTGGTATTGCAGGTGCAATGGTAACACAGAAAAAAGAATCTCCTTGGAGGAGGAGACACAACAGTTCATGGAATACAGGAAGGTGGAGTTGGAATAAGAGTTTCACAGTAACAGAAAAGGAGAAAGGCATTCTAAGCTGAGAGAACAAACTCTACAAGGGTATGTATTAGCATGACACATTTGGGCAACTGTGAGAAGGTGTTACCCCAGATTATAGGGTATTAGAAGGCAGCTAACAGGAGTGAGGCTAGGGAGGCAGACCCAGCCACATCAGGGAAGAACCTTTTGTGTCTTCAAAGAGCTTTACACTTAATTTCATACACAATGAGGATATAGATATGGCAAAAGGTGTTAGCCAAGGAGTATTGTTCAAGTTAGATCTGGGGATCAGATGGTAATTAAGTGAAAGGGAAAAAAATGTGGAGACCTAAAAATTCACTAGGGCTGTGAACTTTGATATCACACTTGACCCCTAGAATATTATGTGAGCCAGGACACCCTGATATGAGGAAAACCAACATGTAATATTTTTATCTTGCCAAGCTGATAATTCAGAGAATTAACAAGTTATGTGCATATAAACAGTAGACTCACAGGAAGCTGGCAAGTGTCAGTCACTTGAGTCCTGTAGTATCATCTACCTGATTCACCTTTGGGCTTATCAATAGCATATAGAGTCATCATGAATACTGCCTGGGTCTGCTGGGTAGCAGGCTGGTTCACTGTGGAATAAATTAACCCCACAGACTCTAGATTTGCAGGGAAGTTCCCCAGCTGGGTTTCCCATTTAAGAAGGGTTCTAATCCTTGTCTGATATATTTTCTCAAATCTAATCATTTCTTATTTTTCAAATCTACTCAAATCATTAGCATTTATCTCTTCATCTTTTCTGTAAATTTGGCCCCTTTAAAGCCAATGGTTATTTTAATAATAGCAAATATTAATACTTCCATAGTACTTCCTATGTACCAGACACTATTCTAAATGCTAAATGTATGTTAAATGATTAAATTCTCATATCAACCCTATGACATGAGTACTATTATTATCTTCATTTTTCAGAGGAGGAAACAGCAAGTTTCTTATGATACTAAATAGGAGCAGAGCCACTAGTCAAACTCAAGCCACCTGGCTCTGGAGCTGATATTTTTAATCACCATAATATGCTGCCTTTCACAAATCTTAGTTTGTAAAGGTACTCAGTAGGAACAAGGGACCAGTGCCTCAAACGTTACCTTACAGAAAACTTTTCTTAGATGTTCCTTTTTTGTAAACTTCAAAGTCATGTAAGCTTTGCCCCTGCACCGAGTTGCAATGCTTTTATATGCAGGGTTTGCATTGTTCCAACAACCTTAAGATCATGTTTGGAAGTACAGTTCAGCCAGATTGAAAGATTACCCCTCTCAACTGTTTTTTTGTTTGCTTGTTTTGTTTGTTTGACAGTTTAACCAAAACTCTCCATCTCACCAATAAGATTCTTCCGTAAGAGTTCTTCCAGAACATGAAACTTACTAAGAATTTGCAGCTCATTAAAACTTCTTCCTTTTAATACTCAAGATTGAAATAAAACCTCTTCTGCAAGGTCAGCAATAACAGATCTAATGTAAGCCCTTTATTGATTTTTAAAAAGTTGATTACATTAATCTTTTTACTTTTTATCTTGTCTTTAGGTCATAAGTCACCAGTCCTTTTGTGAGAGGAAACTTTTACTCTCTGAAGCTTTTAAAGAGAATATAAAAGTAACAAAGTTATTTTTTTTAAAAAAATCAATGTACCACATAAGAGTTTAGGATCTACTTACTAGTTGAAAGATCCTTGACCCTGCCCAATCTTAGATGTTTCCTATGTCACCTTTGGAGTCTGAGCTTTATTTCCAGAAATGATTAATTATTCAGAAAAAAATTAGCTGGCACTTAACTCTTCCAGGTTTTGAAAGATTCTATGCGAGCAACTCAGAACTTTATGGACCTCTGATTCTGCATACACTACTAAAATACTTCCCACTTTTTTCCACGACTTTTTCAAAAAATCAATGAGAATGAACCAAAGGTCAAAACTTTCAGCAGAATTTTGTGAAAATTATCGCTAATGCTTCAAAGTGAGAGGACCAGGAAGATGGTGGTAGAAGAATCTGTGTTTTTCTTTAAACGTTAATGGTTTATTAGCACAGACCTTTTAAGTCAGGCCACTAAAAGGCAGCGGGATGTTTTCAAGTCCCTTTGGGCTGGCGAAGCACGTGCTTGCTGTGCCTTATCAAGCACTGAACATTGAATACGTGTTGAAAACAGAGCTGATGTGCAACCTTAGCAACCACTCACCTCTGCTATTTTAACAAAATGTTAAGCTAAAAGAAAAAATATTAGCATACAAGGCAGGATGTGCCCCTTTATATTCTGAGGTCTGTCCACGGTGAGCAGGCCACACCCACCCTTGGGAGAGATAGAGAATGATTGATTATGCATAGCAAACTGCAGGTTTGAACCCCAGCACCGCCATCTACGATTTGTGCAATCTTATCTTGGAACACATACCTAGAAAACGTGAATGATCCCAACGTTTAAGATGAGAAGACAATTGAGTGGGAAAAGCAGGTGAAAACAGTGGACCCCAGCAGCCTCCCAGTAACCTAGTTCTCCCTTCCCCTCTCCGTGTCTGTGGTGTTTGGTGGCCTCATCTCTCGCCGCCTCCAGCAGCTCCTTCATTCAGTGAAGGTTCTAGACCGAATGGCCACATTCCTGTGTGTGGGTACTGACCACTCACCACCTTTCTGCTTTTCGGTGCTTTGTTCTTTTATCTTGCCTAGCAGCCAAAGCTGAGGCTGGTGGGAGTCATTTCCAGCTCCGACAGTAGTGGAGTAGGGTTGAGGGAAACGCCAAGGCGGGCTCCGCGCCTGCCGTCCCCAGCCCCGTTGGGCTGTGGCACTCTCCTGACCAAAGTCTGGACCACCGGGAAGCGAGAGGGAGCGCCACTAAAGGTCTCTTTTGTGCCCTGTATTTGGCCACTCCATGGCCAGGGTGGGAGGGGAGGCGGACGGTGCCCGACACCACCACTCAGAGAGCGGTCCCTGCGCTTGCTCCGCAATTCCCGGGCTCCGGGAACTGGCCTGGGCGGGGAAGCAGTCGGGGCGCAGCGGCACCCGGCGAGACTGCAGGGCGCCCGAGCGGTCGGACGGGGGAGCGAGAGCTAAAGCTTGCGGAGCGCGCCAAGCCGCCGTCGCGGGCGGCCCTGGCCGGGAAGCTGACGCCGCGCGGAGCCCGCCCGGCCGCGGGAGCGGCGAGAGGCGGGTGCCGAGCGGGGGGCGGAGCAGGCGGCGCCGGGGAGGCGGAGGCGGCGTCTCCCAGAGCTGCGCAGGCGTTGCTCGCACCTTGTTGATTAGTCAGTGCTGGGAGCGCTGCTATGGCGTTTCTCAGACCCGCGGCTCCTCCTCACACTCTCGAGGCGGAGGGAAGGAGGGGTAAGAGGAGGAGGCGAGAGGGCGGCCGCCGCAGCTGCAGAGCCGGGGCCAGAGGAGGAGGCGGAGCGGGAGCCGCCGCAGCCACCCGGGCCGCCGCCGCCCCCCGCAGCCGCTGGGCTGCTCTGAGTCCTCTCCGGGCTTGAGGGCACGCGGGGCGCCCCAGCCATGCCCCGCAGCGGCAGCTGAGCCGGGCGCCGGCCCCCTTCCTCCGGGCCGCCCCAGCCGCCGCGCCCCCCGGCTGCCCGCGGCTGGAGCTGCCCAGCGCCTCCCGCGCGCCCCAGACCGCGAGCGCGAGCAGCGGCAGCCGCCGAGGCGCGGGTGGTGCGGGCGGCGGCGGCGGGGGAGCGCGGGACAGGAGGCGGCGGGGAAGATGGACCCGGCGCCCTCGCTGGGCTGCAGCCTCAAGGATGTGAAGTGGAGCTCGGTGGCGGTGCCGCTCGACCTGCTAGTCAGCACTTACCGGCTGCCCCAGATCGCGCGGCTGGACAACGGTGAGTCCCGGCCGGGGCGCGGGGCAGACGGGCGAGGACAGCCGTCTCCACGCGGGTGTGCGCGCGTGTGCTGGAGAGGGTGAGACCTGGGGGGAGTGGGCTGTCCGCCCCCGAGTGCCGGAGTTGGCCCGAGCGGCTGCCGCAGTCCTGGCGCGTTCCCTCAACTCTCCCCAGCAGCAGCCGGGGAGATGGAAATCAGTCCTTGCAGTATAATTTAAAAGGACGCCCTAAAAATAAATAAATAAAAAGTCAACATAGGAAGACCTCTGCAGATAGTAATCTTGGGCGCCAGCGATCCCTCCCCACCCTCCTGCAAGAATTACTCAACCAGGGAAACCCTGAAGAGTTATCTTAGGCAACTTTCTTGAGAATATCATTGTGCTCTGGGTGGCATATTGATTTGGGTGCTCTCCTCCCTGTCTCCCCCATCCCCCGCCAAACATTTAAGAGGAAACGCTCCCGGGTGACCATTGAAAAGGATCACATTTCTCAGAGACCTTGTATTACAGCTTGTTTGTTTCGTTTAACCCAACTGAAAGTAATTGAGGGCTGTCCGTAGAAAATGCTTTTAGCAGAAGTGATGGTATGCTTAAGGTTAATTATTAGGTTAGCGCATTTCCAGCCTGAAAAAAAAAGTAAGTCACCAAAACGTATTGATTCGGAACCTGAACTCGGAACTAAGGTGTATTTCCTGAAACTGACCACCAGAAACTCACCGAACCTCCATCCCCCAACTGTTTATTCTCTGTTCTGACAGCTGCAAACACATAGTTGCGCATACTGTCAAGCAAGTAGACACCTTTCAATTTGAGAGTGATGACAGGTAAGGTGGCAATTTAGGTGTGTTTGGTCTTCTCTTGCTTTTATTATAACTTCCGTGGGCTTTCGCTTCATGCGATTTTAGACTGTAGAAAGAAGCCTGCCCTGCTGTGGAGCAGCTGTGGAAGTACCCGGGCCCAGGCTGGCAGGCAGGCAGGCAGACAGAGCTGTAACTATACAGGCCAGATCAGAAGAACACTAAGCAGACAGATGTCATTTCAAGTTACAGGCATTAGGGTTACTTCTTGTTTTTTGGAGTAAAAGAGTAGGTAACATGAGACGTATACATATGCAAAGGAATTTTTATTCTGTTTCTTATCTGTGGAGTTTGATTAGACGTTTGTATCACTGATGTGAAAACAAATGCAGGAAAGTTCGTGAAAGCTGGAAGACCACCTTGGCCTGCTTGCTATCCTTGTTTGATTGTTGGTGGTAGTAGGGTGCACTGGGAATAAGCTAGAGGTTTTTAAACCAGTAATGAAGTGCAGATCACAGTAGCTGTTGAAGGGGGACACGCAGGTGGCGTGTTGAGGCGTTTCTGCTTAGAGTAGGGGTGGGAAAATATTGTGTGCTTTAAGTAGCATCTACAGACCTGAATTGGTGTGTGTTTGTATTAACAGCGTTTCATTTCCTCCTCCAAAATTGTGTATATTGGAATATTGTGAGTCCTCACCTTTTCCGACCTTCTCTCATCTCTGAACACTGCCAAATTGCTAGCTGGGCAGAGAGCATTGCTGCATGTGGTATAAAAGTCACCCAAAAGCTTCATTAAACAAAGTTTAAAGGGGTGGAATATCACTTTCAGACATCACTTTTAGTTTTATTTCCCAGTTTTCTATCCCTGCCATTCATAAAAAGGATCTGAATCAGCAGTGTATTCGTCCCACACTTCGTTCTAAAATGAGGACGTGGGTAGCAAGTCTTAACACTGTGTCCTTTCAAGCTGTGGAATGGATTTTGATCACTACATGTAATTCCAATTCTTCATTGTAAATTTCTCTTATTTCCTTATTGCCACTTGAGAATCAGAGTGGCACACACAGATTTGGAATCATAGCCTGATACTGCTTTATATCTTGCTTCTTTAACTTAACAGGCCTATCTCATTTAAATATTTTTGTTAACATGATTTTTAATAACTGCCAAAGAGTCCATGGGCTAAGCTATAGTATGTAATTTCATACCCTATTGTGGGGACATTATTAAGCTATATTATTTTGTGCTATTAAAAATTGTGATATAATGAATACTCTTGTACATACATTTGGGGTTTTTTTAGTTAGAATATATTTTTACTTTGCTGAACAAGCATGTCAGTCCTATTAAAATCCTTGATACATATTGTTAAATTGCTTTAGAGGCTAAAGGAAATCCTCATTTATACCAACATGAGCGTTATGGGAGTATCAGTCTGCCCACACTCTTAAATTATTAAGTATTTACAAAAAATTTATCTGCTAATTTGATGGGGAAAAGTGTTGTTTTAGCAGTTTAATTTGGGTAGATTTTAAAAGAGTGAAATCATAGATTCTGTGCATATTTTTAAACGTGTTTCAGAGCAGTTTAGGACAGGTCGAGGACATGCTGGCATATTTATAAAAGTTATAGGTGAAATCTTAAGTTTTGTGCTGTCCTCATCCTGTGTCTTTTCCCCAGTTTTAGTACTGCAGGTGCATTTTGCACATGCACACGCCCACCATATATTTAAGACATGGAACGTAGTCATTTTCCAAATCACTTGTTTTTAAAGAGACTAGAACAAAATTGAAAAACATACCAATAGTTGACATCATCCCAAGAGGAAATGATTGGCTAATTTTTAATAGTTGTTAAAGAATATTAAAAATCTAATTTTACAACTACTGATTATCAGAAAGCCTACTATGGGCAGGTACATTTCTAGATGCATAATATGTATTGTATCAAATCCTCAGCAACACAATGTTTAAGAACTTCAGGAACCTAAAATTCAGAGAAATTAACTTGTCTGAAGGCTCACACCTAGTAAATGGTGGAGTGGGTTTTCCAGCCGACCTTCTGACTCTGAAGACTGACCTCTTATCTTAAGCTGGGCTACCTCCTAGTACTAAAGGAGAGTGGGGTTGAAGTTGTTCTGACATCTGCTCTAAATAGGTTCACTGTCTCTCTGGGAGCTTAAGGACTGGAAAGTCAATATTTTTAAAACAGTGTAGACACCAAATTAAAAGCTGGCCTCATCCATCATGCATATGACTTTCTACTTGCCAAAGGAGTGGCTGAAAAGAGGCCAGAGGCAATGGGGAAGAAGAGGTTACAAAATAGAAGAAAACTTGGAAAACATTAGGGTTTGAGGGCCTAGTAATATAGATGTCTGTTGAGATGACTCTTCAGGACATTTGCCGTCCTTAGAATATTAACTACACAATATGTAAAGAACTCTCCAATTCTTTGCATTATAAATGTCACTCCTGAAGTTCCAGGTAGATAGATGCACTCAGTATTACATCCTTAATGGTGAAATTTGTATAAGATAAATACAAAATAAGTGAATCTTTATGAATATTGTCCCATAAGTTTTTCTGGAGAACCCCAAGAAGGGTACTCCAGCAGTTCTCCTTAGGAGATTTGATGAGATATATCTCATCAACTGAGTAAGCCCAGTCAGCAGTGCAGTTAAGATCAGATATTTTAACTGATTGATCATCAGTCTTATAAATTGTTGGCTGTAGAACCTGGGTCAGCAAATGTGCTTAGGACCAAGGAGAGGACAGAGAAAATACTAATCCCAATTCCACCCCTAACCATCCTCACTCAAAACTGGATGGGTGGGAAATTGTTCATTTTCTCTCTCCTCCTCATTTCATCTTGGATAGACCCTGAAGACTTGTGTTAGAATAGCATTCTTACAACCTGTTTGCTTCTGTACCTCCTAAAAGATTTGGTGAAACTCTGTCCCTAAGCACATTTTTCAGTTAAATGCTAAAACTTTTCATCCTAAGTTTAAATAGTTGCAGGGTATGTAATTTCTCAGCATATTTTAAAATATTTTAAAGTATGACATCATTCTAAAAACTCTAGTAAAATATGTATTTGACTTCCAATATCATTTGCTTAAAAAATTCATGAGATGCAAGATTCAGTCTTTTGAAAGTTAAACATTTTACGCCTTTTCTTTATCTCTTTAAATTCTTATTCCATTTCCCTTCCGCTGTATAGAATTCTATCTCAGTGTAATATATTTTTATGCTTGAAAGTGTTCTATTGATCACTCTGCCATACTCTCTGAACTAAAAAAAAAAAAGTATATATATTGAAATTCAGTATTTTGTATTTATTTTGATCATAAGACTTTCCATATTTAATGATTTCTGATTTTTTTTTAAATTTTTTTCTTTCTTTTTTTTTAGAAACGGGGTTTCACCACGTTGGCCAGGGTGGTCTCGATCTCTTGACCTTGTGATCCACCCTCCTCGGCCTCCCAAAGTGCTGGCATTACAGGTGTGAGCCACCGCGCCCAGCCGATTTCTGGTTGTTTTTTAAAACAAAGAATTGGAAATTACCTGACTTACAGAAATAGTTGTTACCTACATACGGGAAACTTTCACCCTACACCATGAATCAACATTTTAGTTTCTTTGTTTCTCCACCCAAGGTCTTTGCACCTCTTGGGCAATGCATCTTAGAAAGATGTAGAGAAGATAATACAAGTGCATTACTTTTGTAAAGTGGGTGAAGAACCATTGTGAAGGGGGAGATGACGAACAACAGCTTTCTTCTATCACTGTCAAGATCATCACAGAATGAATGTCCAGCACAATCATGGACCCCAGCCCATTAATTTTTAAACAAAAGTACCTTTGGAAATTCCTGATGTAGAAACTGATTCCTTTCATTTGTGATGATGAGCCCCTTGGGAAGTGTTAGCCTCGCCTCAAACATGTACCCCAGTTTAAAGAATGCTGGTCTAGCACAGTAAAAGATGTGTTAATGCCCCTGTTTGCTGAAAGGAAAAGGAAGACCAAGTGCATGGAAAGGCAGGAAGAGAGGAGAAAAGAAGGTGGTAGGAGTAGGAGACTGCTAAATAGGTAGAACAGGAGCAGTGCCGGTCGCTCCTTCCTGGCTATGCCGAGGAATCAGATCAGATTCTAAGTCCCGGATGTGTTGGGACTGTGGGAACTTTGGTCCTCGCTTTGCGCTCAGAG